TTCAGTTTCCTCATCTGTGAAATAAGGAATGTAATGGCCCTCATAAGACACACATAACTTAGTTTATATGAGTTATTTAGAAATAGTGCATTCCATGTTGCCTTGCATCACGTGTGCGCTGACACACAGTGACTGATAGTGAACACATTTTATGGTTCTGTGAATATTCCCACCTGCACATCCAGTGATATCATGTTGGTAGCTTGAGATAAATTGATTGTGAAAGAAGCATCTATGACACAAAAATTGGTCAATACCATACATCGGGAGCAGCTTGTCAGTATACCATCAGATGACACCAGCAAGTTCTCTATAAATGTTAACATTGTTATTATTATTGCCCAATAAGTACTTCTGCTCTCTGTGGTCTTGAGATTCTGCTAATTAAATAAATAATAGTCTTAATCTTTAATAAACTTGAAGTGATTTTTGGCTTCAGAAACGTCTAATTGATGACTTGCCTTCTTCATTATATTATTTCCATTAGGCTTGTGTTTCATAGACAGTGAATTTCAAAGGATATTAATAGTTACTATGTGCTAAGGGCGTCATAGAAAAACAAGTTGGAATATAATGAAGTAAAAGAGAGAGAGGGAATTGGTTTTGTTTTATCCACTAAAGGTTTTCACAGAGCCTTACCAAGACAATTGCTTTGTGAACCTTGGGAGTGGGAGGTAGAGGAGTTTTGTTTTTTTGTTCTTTTTTGTTTTTTGTTTTTGTTTCTTTTTATGAAGTATCAAGCAAGATTAGTGGCAAATGTTGCTGTGGCAGTGCTTCAGAGACTTTCATAAGCACAGATTTCTGCATGTGAATCAGCACCAGATCCTGTTGAAATGCAGATTCTGATTCTGTGTGTCTAACTGGGGTCTGAGGCCCTGACACCTAAGCTCCTGTCCTCAATTCACACTTGAATTGCAAGGCAGAGAGCAACATAACAGTCAAGAAGAAATACTTCGCATAACAAAGAGCAAGGGCAAAAGGTGTAGGGAAAGTGGGAAGGGTAGGGAAAAGGTAATAAGGGAAAAGAAAAAAATATGAGAAAATTAAAAAATGGAAATAAAGTGTTTGTAAATGGGGAGGGTAGTACGGGTGAAGGGAGGGCAGGGACAAGGGGAAAAAATGAGAACCAAGACCTATCATGTAAAGGTACAAGATCCCAGTAATGAATGTAACTGGACTGTATGACTAAAATATACCAATAAACTCAATAAAGGAAAAAAAATGTCAAAGAGCAAGGGCAGCTGAACCATCCTGCATGTTCTCAAGACCAACTGCTTAATAAGTCTACTCTTTAGAAGGGAAAGGCATCTGAAGAGAAAATTATAGTGAGGCTAAATTTAAATAGACCCAGGACTTAATTTAAGTAAGGCAGGTATTGACAATGTCATCTGAAGCCTAGATGATGAATTCGTTGTTAAAGGGATCCACAGTTAGTTCCAGTCCTTCAATTTACTTACGGACTACAATGGCTTCATTTTTGTTCTTAAAGACTAGGAAAGAGAAGAAAGCCAGGCACAGTATTGGTTCAGACTTAGTTATGATTTTCTCTCTCTCCCACAACCTCAAGTTCCACATTTTATGAATTTAAAAAATAAACCTCTTTAATAATTTAAATTAGAATATAAATGGTAGAAATTGAAAGAGCAAAGTATAGCCAGGGATTAAAAAAAAGAAAAACAAAAACAAAAAGAACCTGGGTCAGATATAGAGACAACACTAGGAAATGTAATCAGCTATTGAAAGGCACCACAAACCTTCCTAACCCTCAAAAACTCATCTTTCTGGCCCCATTTGGGGATCCTCCGGGCCCTGTTCTAGTCTGGGGACTTAATTTTGGCATCTGTGTGACTCTAGAAGTTGGTATCCTCTATCAGCTGCGTAGCCTAGCAGCTCTTCTCTCCTGGTTCTTTGGCAACAGTGTTTCAATAATCTTTGTAGATAGATCACACAATTCCTAAGCATAGAGCCGGGATTAGGCTAATGGAGGCATGATAAGACTCTTCCACAGTATTTCCATCAATGATTCATTTCTGCCAGTTATAGCTTGACATACTTTGATAATTTATTTAAAACAAAAAGGTTAATAGGTCATGACATCTTTGTAGATCAAAACCTTTATCAATGTAATCAATAATTGTGCCTAATTTTATATTCTTCTCTAGTGTTCTTTGGTTTAAGTTCATTTTGCAATTATGCTCTTTCCCTTTTCTTGTTTACTCCCTTATCTTTCTGTGGTAGTTCAGACTACTTCTAGTAATTAAATTTCAAAACCCAAGTGGTTGTTTTGTTAACTAATATTAATTTGTTAACAATATTTTGTTAACTGTTGAGATTAGATTTGTTGCCAGAACTAATAGGCTTTCATCTATGGAGTCTTGTTAATATTTTTGAATTTTTATGGGTCTTGACTTTTCTTCTTATTCTAAAAGCTTTTCTTTTTTTTTTTTTTTTTCACTTTTTAATATTTTAATAAATCACATCAACAATTTTCATTTCCATGTTAAAGAATTATTGCACTGTACAAAGCCCAAACACACTTAAAAATACCAGAGTTATAAGATTTATGAGGTGGGCTAGGGCAGTAGTTTATAGTATCATATGCATTTTTTATTTTTTTTTTATTGAGTTTATTGGTACATTTAGGGATACAGTACAGTTACATTTATTGTTGGGATCATGTACCTTTACATGGCAAGTCTTGATTCTCATTTTTTTCCCCTTACCTCTGCCCTCCCTTCACCCCCTCCTCCCCTCCCCATCTACAAACACTTTATTTGTGATACGTAGGGGAAGAACAAAAAGGGAAAAGAAAAAAATGTGAGAGAATGAAAAGCTAAAAGCTTTTCTTATATTGCTTGTTTTGTTTTCATCTTTTATGTAAATTATCTTATTGGCCACTTAATGATTTCTAGAATTTTTTTTTTAAACCAGGGATCGAACTCAGGTCCTTGCACTTGTGAGGTAGGTGGCAGAACCACTGAGCTAAATCACCAACCCCCTAATACTTTCTAAAAGAAAGTACTTTATATTTCCTTAAGTTTCAAATGTAAGGTATAAAAGCATCCTTAACTTTGACTTGAATAGAGTTGACTCATTACTAAATAAAAATTTGAGATTTAATATTCTTACCACTAACTGCTTAACATTTTTAACTGTGAAATGCATTTGACTCTTTAAATAAAATCAGTGATCAATACTGAAAGTATGAACTACTGGTATGTAGCATTTAGTGTGGTTTTCAAAACTTAAATTTAAGTAGTAACAATTTGTAAATGAGTCACTTCTCATAAAAATCTTCCCAAATGTCCTGTTATAACACATTCACATTCCTGCTTTTCTCTTCTGTTACAAGATTTTTTGGATAATAAGCATTCATAGGTGTTTCTTGTTCCAAAGTTTGGATTCAACAATAGTTAAAAATTAGCTTTAAAATATCATAAAACAACTATTCAGTGCTTAACAGAACTGTAGAGAACATTTTTTTTTCATGTTTCAGCCCTGTGTTTTATTGCTCTTGTCTTATCTAGTGGGATTGTAGTATATGTCAGATGGTTCTCTTCATTATTATGAAAAATGAAACAAAAGATGCTTTTATCCATTACATTAAATCCTCAAATAGCCAAAATATATACACACGGCACCAGAGGAGCAGGGTGTTTTCCTTTTTCTAGTTTAGTTTAAAAGTGCAGCACAGACAGGGCTAAATCCAGCTGGGAGTACTGTAGATCACAGTGTTATTAGTCAAGCAGACCTGAAATCCCTATCTGGAGTAGAATATTTACAAGTAAGGTTAAGCTGAACCATATATTTGATGGTCTTGCCTTAAATCTTCTCCTTTGAAAGTTATGATAACTTCTTGGTAACTAAGTGGTTGTATTTTTTTTTTTATCTATGATGCATTCGTTGTTTAATTTGAAACCATCTGACATTTTCATCTTAATCAAAAATTTTATATTACACACATAAAATCCCACATATAAACAATAGTCCAAGTGTATGATCCTACTTACTCATCTGATTTTTGTAATTAAAATGTTTTATCATTTGAAATATACTTTTAAATCATATTTATTATATTTAAAAAATCATCTTCAGTAGTAACTCAGTATAATCACTTGTAAGTAGCTTCTTGATTGTTATTTTTCAAAATGGGTAATTATATCTATAAATCTGTGAGCTTAATCAAATAAATTAGCAGTTAATTAGCATTTATAATAGCTTGTATTTATGTACATGCAATATTTTTCTACGATGATTTTACCAAAAGATTTACTTAAAAGCAAATAATAATATAATAATAAAGCACTCAATAGTAAATGAAAAGATTTTAAATTGCACTTTATATTTTCAATTATTATTTTAAATTATTTAATAAAAACACCCCATCATTTTTTTCTCACTGTCCTTTCCTCAAAAGCCTATCTACATTTTAATCTATTAGCGTACTCAACCTTATTCATGTAAACAACCTTAACACTTGAAAATAGAACAGAGGACTAGATGCAACTCATATTTGAAATATGTGTTGGGTTTTATGGACTGCATTTGACAGAAACATCCAAAATCTCTGATCTTCTGTTTGATCACCTGCTATCAGTACCATTTATTGGCTTGGGTCACATCTATTTTTAGGCATTATGAACAGCGTAACAATTATGCAAAGACACAATATAAAGTCAGATCTTTCACACTGAATGTTAGGCTATAGTTTTGATTGAGAGAAAAGTCATTCTATTCTCTTGCAAACTGGCCATGGTGTTTTGTACTACTGCTTTTAGAAGAATTAGGATTCTACCCTCCTGAGTACAGAGATGCTTTGGTTTAATATATTTACAATCTTATTTAACTGTGAATGAAAAAATAAAATATTTCCAGTAAATCTAGAGTTGGAAAAATTTCCAAATGATACAGGTATATTTATGGAACCCAAGGCTTTTACACTGAGCCTTTTAAAAATAAAAAATAAAAAAATTTTAATTTTGAGACAAAGTCTTATTAAGTAGCTAAGTTGCCCAGGCTAGGCTCAAAGTTGTACACTCCTTGTTCAGCTTCCCAGAGCTGATAGTTATGTGCCGCCATGCTTGGCTTAGTGGACAAATTTTTATAGTTCAATATTATAGCTCTCCAGGAGATTGCTGGTTTCTATAACTTAACCCATATCTGAAAGGCAACCAGCTAAGTGACCCAGCTGCCTGCTGACCATCTGCCCTGCTAGAATGGAGAGACTTTGAGTTCCTTGCTGAAGACTACAATTTGGTTTCATTGCTTCATAGGATCCACCCGGTATCTCTATGGCTGGGACACTGTCCAGCATCTCAGAAAACATGGTACTTGCAGTTTTATCTGATTGCAAAAGATTTTGCGTCTGGCTTTAGTATATATAAAGTAAATGTACCTGCAGTCATTAGCCCCAGCTCCTGGCTTGTTCCCCCGTGATTTCTTCAGCTCTCTCAGAATAAATGGTCTGTGTCTATGTGAATGTACAAAATAATATAAATTGTTCCTTAGTACTCTGCCATTATATATGGAGTGTATATTTGAAAATATGTGTCATATCAGGAGAGTGGAGGGTGCCAAGATGTCTACGTCTAGATCAAGCAAGTCTAGCATGGTGGGTGCACACAATGAAGTTGATAAGAAGCCATTAGAGGTGCTGTGCTAGCTGCACATGTGGTAACAGTTTTATCTTGTAAACATAGTACCCAGTGGGAAACAGTAAGAGACACAAAGCCACAAAATGATATCATTCACATTAAAAAAAAACAACAACAACACTTAAAACACGGTTCCAGCATAATACAAGGACATATGTAGATATATTAACTGGAGTGGGCATTTCCTGAGGATAGTGAGGGAATAAACATCAGAATCAGGATAAAGGGGAAAATAAGATGAGAGAAGGACCTTGAAGCAATCAGTGATGAGATGTGTGATTGATTCATACTTTCTACTGAATATCAAAAGAAAAAGGAGAGATATGAGACTTTTTTTCAAATCTCAAAAAAAACAACAACAAACTAAATGCAACAAAAGGCTCACACCGATTTCTGAGGGATTACTATTTAGATTTTATATTTATTATGATCACTGAAGCCACCCTACACAATCAACACATATTATCTGTAGTAAACTTCATACATGTCATCAATATTAGGACGTTAATTGTATGGCTGAAAGTGATGCCACGTATGCTGGGACCAGCAAGAAGGGCATGGCCAGTTATCATACAGGTGCTTCTGCCACAGTGAAGTTTTCCACATGATAGAACTAAACCTAATATTTGTGACAATTATCTAAAGCCTCTCGTGCTATATGACTATCAAGTGTGAATACAAGGTTGACATTTGCATTCTACCTTAACAGCTATATTTATTACTCTTTGTTCTTAAAAGTTTGTGTTCTAGAGAATTTGTTTTCTATCTATTCAAATAATGAGATTACCTTTCATTAAAATTCAACTTGAACATTTCAGCAAAGATATTCTCAATAGACAGTGGTTGATGGAAAATAGGAATAGAAAGAAATAATTTACTTTGACATAAAATGTGGGAACCACAGTTTCTTATATAGTGATATTAATTAGATTTTTGCTTCTTTCTCACTCTTACCAAATTTAAATTACACGCAGTAAGTCATGCAGCCCACACCCCTAAGGAGCCCATTGAAGGGAGTGGCTAGTGCTTAGGACAGTGCGGTTTTGCCTTAACTGCTTTTAAAACAAAATTCCATTTGCTGTTCATTTGCTCCAGCCGCTCTTTTTTGAATCTGTCTTGAAAAGAAGAGTGGTTATCTTCATCCTCTGTCTCGGAGATGATCTCCATTTTCTGAATGATGAGTTTAATTAGCTCATGCTGCTTTTCCAAGAGAGTAGAGAGGTCTTTTAGCCTAAAAAAAAAAAAAAATAGTATGTTTTGTGAATTTATTTTCAATTCTTCTCTTGCCTCTGAATGCAGAAAGATATAAGTGCTAGAAGTGTTTTAGATCAGATTAACTAAGTAGATTGCAGCCTCACTGTATTCATAATCCATTCACCAAATACATAGTTTTGAAATTTAAATGATTTTTCCAAAGTCACGTAATTAGTTCTTGGCTAGTATATTACTGTTTCCAGATTACAGATGAAGCTTTACACAGAAAAGTTAAGCACCTTTCCCTAGGGTCATAGAGTTAGTAAATAGTTGAATAGGGTTTTTAATTCAAATAAACAAACCCTACACTCCTCCTGTTTAATTACTGTCTTCCTTATAATTGTCCCATGGATCTTCAAAGGTTGTAAGAGGTTTTCAGTATAAAGTCATGCAACTCATGAATGGCAATGTTTTCAAGAGTATGGAAATCAGCATTTCAATCTTCACTCATTTGTTCTTTGAAAAGCGAACTGGGCAATAGCAGCAATAAGTTTTTAGGTAAAAAAGATGTCTCACAATTCTCAGTATACTACCTATGCAGTAAAAAAGACCTAATTAAACACAAAAAATACAGACTGATATATAATAAAACTGTATACTCTGCATTTTTATTTAAGAGTTTTAATTTCTCAAATACAAATAGAGGGAAAAATACGTACCGGTATTTCTGTTTCAACATTTCTAATTCTAAACATGTATCAGTATTTGGTATTTCTTGTCTTGTTTCTTGGATGCCAAAAAAATAATGAAATAAACGCTGTGGGATAAGACATAATAGTTACACAAGTTGATTCACTTTGGGAAATATGTCCTGTACATTTGCCAAAATCCCACTACCACTCCAGGCTCAATAGAATAAATATTCATAAACTGCACCTGAGGCCCTCAAAGATATTGCAAACTGCTCTGAGGAACAGTCACTAAAAAGCTGTACAGTGAAGTCTTCCATAAAAGAAAAAGAAAAGTTGTTTAAATAATAAAGAAGACATGAAAAGGGCTGAAACACTGTTTATGAGAGGGCTGAACTGAATCATTTTGTAAAACCTCATTTAAAATGTTCATTATGGGTAGCCCTATTCTTTATAAGATTTCTTGATTCTTCAAAACTCCTTTGTAACTTTATCCAACACAACTGAACCCAGGGACAAAATTCACATATAGAAATTTATAAAATATAGTTTTAGTGACTTATCTTTAAGTTTAGTGTCACGTGTGTGTGTGTGTGTGTGTGTGTGTGTGTGTGCAGTGCTAGGGATTGCATCTAGGCCTTGTGTATGTCAGGTAAGCATTGTAGCACTGAGCCACACCCTCAGCTCAATTTAGTGTTTTTTAAACCCTGGACTGAAGAAGGTCAAGGGCAGATACAGACGTGAAATGACCAAGAATGACATAATTCTAGGAGTGTAGGCAAGAGATGGTCACTTACACAGGCCACCAGGAATAAAGAATAAAGAGATGGTATTCAGCTTAATCACTGTGTAGATTTTCTGTAGTGGATGTTCCTCACATATATGCATGTGTGGGTTTATTGTATGTTCTGCATATATGTTAGACATATATACACATATGTGTGTACATTTATCTACACATATAAATGTAGGTGGTGTTTAGGACAAATAAAGTATACTTGAAACAACACTGGAAAAGTGTGGCTAGTTCACTCAACTGTTCTCATAAGAACATGGGGTATTTAATAAACACGCTACAGAAGAGCTACCTGGAAATGGAGAACAAGTATCTCCCTCCACAGTGCCTGGGACTTTCACATTATGTTAATCCCTAACCTTTAAAAAGTACATTAATTTCTTTCCCACAGGAAGAGTAGAATCAAAGTAAAGGTACTGTAGGGATAACACAATGGGTGGATGTCGAGGTTGTTATTTGCAGAGTGTACTTACTAACATCCTTCCATGTCTGGGCCGATTGGGATACACGACGATGGACTTCTGATCAACTTTGCGCAAGAACCAAAGGGGCAGCTTTTTTTCTAAGCTTGTATGAAGTTCTACCTAAAAGGCATTTTATATGGGTTGGCTGAAATATTTATTAGTATCTGGAAAGCTTACAGAGTACAGATGCCATTATTAGTACAACAAAATGAAAACTGATTGCTGTGTCCTGATTTATATACAGCAGTTGGGCTGGGCAGATTCCCTGTCTCCCAACTCAGTCACAGACCCCTACCTGTCACCTCATCTACCAACAAGACAAGGAAAACATTGGGGGGGACAAGTTTTAAAGAAATTACTTTAACACAGCCAGTGTTTATTGTTCAAAGACTATGATCAAAATTGGAGCTATAAGTAGGAAAAAGACATTAAAATACTACAAAATACACACAGCTAGAAAGTGGAAAAAGTGTGAATGATGTGAATATATACCAAGAATAAGAAAGAATCGAGGGTTGAACTGGGGGAACACAAAGATAAGCAGTAAAAAAAATGAGAACCAGTATATCTAAGAGTATTCAATGAATTTTAGCTCAGACAAGTTTGGGTGCATCCAGGATGGTTATGGCTGTCAACTTCAGTGAATTTTAATACTACTCTATCAGGTGTAAGACATTTTATTCATGACATGTATTAAGTATACTTTTTATTTTCAGAGATACAATATTTTATCTCATCAGTGTTTCTGCTTTGAATTTACATTGAATTTAATTCTCATATTTTCAAACTTTCTTTTTGTATTTCCAAATTTATCTTTTACTCTTTTAAAATAGCCATTCACTTTATGTATGTATGTGTGTTTGTGTCTGTTGTTTAGATATGCTTATTGTCACTACCATACAGTGAGGTTTGCTTTCAAATCTAAAGCCATACACTTTTCAATACACAGGAATTTAGGTGGTTTACAGTCATAAAAAGTGAGATGGTAAGAACTTCCCAAACTGTACTGTTTAAAACTGTAGTCCCCACTGCTCCCTGTAAGACACACTCATTATCTTTGTCTTCTTGATATTTTTATAGTGCCCACCACCCTTAATACACTGTATCTTAGTTTCACTTTCAAGAAAAAAATATGTACTCTTGTACTTTGTTTACAATACCAGTTAGGTATTTTCTTCATTTTCTATAATAATTTTCAGATTTCTTTTCCTCCATTGGAGCTTTAGGATAATATTCCTTTCCCCTTCCCATATATTTTTTCGAGTTCACATATTATTGTTATGCAAAGCCAGTTGAAAAAGATTTATTCAACTCCAGTGTTGGCCAACAGTTAAAGGACGTTGTGTGTCTTAAATCTGTTCCTTGACTACGTAGGGCAGCCCGATTAGAGCCTGGGGAGGGTGGCAAGCAAAAGCTCCACATAGCGGCACAGTTTGTGATAGCTAAAACTTGGAAACAGACCATTTGCCCATCAGTTGGAAACTAGATAAAGAAGATGTGGTTTTTCTATAAAATGGAATACTACTAAGCCATAAAGAATGAGAAATTAGATTTATTTATAGGAAAATGGATACTTATTGAGGATATACACTTAAGTGAAATAAATAAGTCACACATGTATAAATACCGAATAGTTTCTCTGGTGCGAAAAACTATAATAGTACATAAGATTCTAGTGAAATAATTGACAATGTGAAATAGGAAGAAAGGGGCTAAAGGTGTAGGGAAAGCAGGAAGGGTAGGGGAATGGTAATGATGGAAAAGAAAAAAAATAGGAGAAAATGAAAAAATGGAAATAAAGTGTTTGTAAATGGGGAGGGGAGAAAGCCTTGAAGGGAGGGGAAGGACAAGGGGTAAAACTGAGAACCAAGACCTGTCATGCAAAGGTACAAGAGCCCAATAATGGATGTAACTGTACTGTATCCCTAACATGTACCAATAAACTCAATGAGAAAAAAATGAGACTCTTGGAGAGAAAAAAAATAAATGCTCCACATCTAATATGAGGTCTGGTGGGACCCACTGGGTACGGCTACATCTTCACCTCCACTCTCTGTAAAGTTTCTACATTGAAGAATAGGATGTGTTCTGTGGATTCCCTTTCCTAATTTACAGAATGGAAAGAAATATTTATGGAATGTCTACAGCTGTCAGCACTCTGTGGAAAGCACAGATAACATTGTTAAAAAGCAACCAAACTGCTCCAAACCCCTCAAAGTGTAATTGCCATCCCTAAGGAACCCACAGTTCCCATAATGAAAATATCATCCAGCACTCAGTATCCCAGGATCGCTGTAGCTCCTCATGCTTGTGAGATGATTGGGGAAAAGATTAAATGGCCTTGAATGGCACACACTGCTGCCCACTCCCTTCCATCCCTGTGTTCTGTTGCGAGCTCTGATTTGGGCTTTTAAATGGATTCAGAGAATTGCTTAAGAAATAGCTCAAGGGGTAAAAGAAGCAAATGTTTCCCTGACTCTGGTCAGTGCCAATCTTGGTCCAAAGCAAGAAGAGATGCTGTGGGGTCCTCAGTGCTCTTTGGTTTCATGGAACAAACACAATATAGAATGACACTTTTGCAATCAACCATACTGCTTTCACAAGACATTGTATCTAGTGTGTTTGCTTATGTTATTCTTCTTAGTCATTTCCCCTGGCATTTTGAAGAGTTACTAAGACAATTATGAGGCACTGTACTGCTGAGAGGCCTGTCAACGTGGTTGTATGCTTTCTCCTTATGTGCCCACCTGGAGCCCTAAACTCATCTTTGTTAGATTAATAACCCATCATTAAGTCTTCCTTCCTCCAGTCCTTCCCCAGTAAAACAGATAAAGCTCGTATCATCCTAAAAACAGTACCATTTTCATTTCCATTTTCTATGGACTAACAAAACAGCTTGAAATACTTCATCATGTACCTCCACTTATTTCAAATCTAAGCTCTTCCTTGTGTTTGAATAAAACTCTGGGACATGCTGGTCATGATTGCACTAGAATCTTCTAGGAGAGGGGCCTTGTTACAGCATTTCAGCCATTTCCCCCAGTTCTGCTTTGGCTCCTTGTTCTCAGTGGGGCAGTCCTTTCTGGAACACTCTCACTGTCCTTTGAAAGCTCACCATCTTTTTTTATTTTCTCTCATTGAGTTTATTGGTACATTTTAGGTATACAGCACAGTTACATTCATCATTGGGATCTTGTACCTTTACATGACAGGTCTTGGTTCTCATTCTTTCCCCTTGTCCCTGCCCTCCCTTCACCCACTCCTAGCTCACCATCTTTTAATACTGACTCATTCCACCTCCCCTGTGTAGCATTCCTTTCATTATTTTTGCATTATTTTCTGTACCAGATAAACATTTAGTTATGTTTTTCATTCTCTGAGTGTCCCAGGCTCTCTGTACAATGCAAAATTCAGTCACAGAGCACAGAATTTGAGAAAGATTCTAAGTTGATTTTATATTTAATTTTCTGAATGTTTAGCTCATGTGATAAGTAGGCATATTTTACTTAATAAAATCAGAGGTCATATCCCTTCATTTCCTCTGGTTTCCCATGCTAAGTTGTATTGCGCTTTTGTATATGTCACATGTTGGAACATTGTTTGCTGAACAAATAAAGGCAAATATATAGCAGAATAAAAATCAGAACTGTGAACAAGAAAAGGAAAGATGAACATGAAAGGAAAGTTCTATTTTAGCATGGATTTTTCTTTCTCTCTAAATGGCCTAAATTTCTGAATGCATATATTCAACTAATCATTGGGTATTCTTTTTTGTTGTTTTGGTTTTTGAGACATGTTCTCACTATGTAGTTGATACTGGCCTGGAACTCACTATGTAGCCCAGGCTGGTCTTGAACTCACAGCGATCGTCCTGCCTCAGCCTCTTGAGTGCTGGAATTACAGGCGTGCACCACCATGCCCTGCTTCATCAGGTATTCTTAAAGCACCAAATTTCCCATTCAAATTTGAAATTTAAAGACAATACAATTGAAAGCATAGAAATAATTGGGTTGTATGACGTGTGACTACCTCACAAGATTCAGTAGCCAAGTGCCTGTCCAGAAACCTCTGATTCTAGAAAATTTTATATCATATTATCCAGAAAAATAAGAGGATATCACAAAAGAGCAACACTTCATGGATACAGTTAAAACTTCAATATAAAACATGCTGTTGGATACCCAGCAGAGGGATGGCTGGGTCAAATGGAACCTCAAGTCCCAGCTCTTTCCAAAAGAATTAAAAGAATCATACCACAGTGATATATGCACACCAATGTTTAAAGTGGCATAGTTTGTAATAGCTAAAACTCGGAAACAGACCATTTGCCCATCTGTTGGAAACTGGATAAAGAAGATGTGGTTTTTCTATAAAATGGAATACTACTCAGCCATAAAGAATGAGAAATTAGAGTCATTCATAGGAAAGTGGGTACATATTGAGGATATACTGTTAAGTGAAATAAATAAATCACACATGTGTAAAAATACCGAATAGTTTCTCTGATGTGAAAAACTATAATAATACACAAGATCCTAATGGGATAATTAATAATGTGAAACAGGAAGAAAAGGGCTAAAGTTGTAGGGAAAGTGGGTGTTGTACCCATATCTCAGTTTCCCCAAGGACCACCAGAAAAACGAGTCCGCTGCAAGTACAAGAGAAGTTTATTTCAGGTTCAAACTTGGACCCTTGTCAGCCAGGGAGCAAGACCCCAGAATTGCGATTACAGCAGGGTTATATAGGGTTAAGGTGGCTTGAAATCCTCTATTCTATTGGGTGTTGCTGGGGTGTTAGCGAAACGGGAAGAAGTGTTAAGTCTAGGGGAGGGGGAGTTTGGTGAAGGTTAGGGAGTTTGGATCCTTTCCTGCAGGTGGGGGTTATCTGCATAGACCATCCTGTTTTTCCAGACCGTCCTCTTTTTCTCCTTCTTTTCAAGGTTGGAATAGCCTCGCTCACCCACTTGGTTCTGCTCTTATCTCAACTAAGCAAGCTAAACAAATTTCTGCTGCCTGAGCCCGTGGGGGGGAGGCAAGTCTGACACGATGGCTTTTTAGCCCAAAATGGAGTAACTTTGGCCTTAGTAAAAATGGAGAAACTTTGGCTCTTCAGTGGGAAGGGTAGGGGAAAGGGAATAAGGGAAAAGAAAAAAATATGAGAAAATGAAAAAATGGAAATAAAGTGTTTGTAAATGGGGAGAGGGGGTGAAAGGAGGGCAGGGACAAGGGAAAAAATGAGAACCAAGACTTGTCATGTGAAGGTACAAGATCCCAGTAATGAATGTAACTGTATTGTATACCTAGATTGTACCAATAAACTCAATAAAAACAAAAACAAAAAAACAAACCATGTTGTTGGAATTCTGTAATTCCATGTCAAAATATCAAGCACCTCTTTGAACAGCCGGGATAGACAAAATACAGCACTTTACATCTGTGAAGTTCTCGGTCTAGCAGCCAGGTATCTGTTTGGCCACATGTTGACATAAAAAGGGGTTCAGGTAATTTCTCAATTTCTCTGATGAGATTGCTCTAGGGTAACTTTTCACCACTCTTGATACTTTGATTATAGCAGATATACCAGAAAACACACAGGTACAGGATTGCATAGTTCAGCACTGAGAAAACATCCACATTAAACAACACTCTTCTCAGAAAATCAACTATTCCTATATGCAAATAATTATGATAGTGTTAATTTCCATAAATGTTAAATAAATATAATACTTACTTGCATAGCAATCCTCTTCAAAGATGCATGTTTCTGGACTTCAGCAATGTCACCAACTGCTAAACCAATCTAAAGTATGACACAAAATTTAACCATACCACTGTAAATGTCCATTTAAAAATATACTTGGTCCATTCTGTCTTTTATAGCAAAATATCTTAAACTGAGTATTCATATGCACCATAAATTCACAGTTTTAGAGGCTGGGAAACCAGAAATGAAGCCACCACAGGATTTGGTGTCTGCTGAGGGACCATTCCTCATAGTGTCTTCTATGAGTTCTCTCAATGTAGAAGCCAAAAAGGATCTAAGAAAATCCTTCATGTCACAATCCTATTCGTAAAGGCTTATGGTTTAGTCATCTCTCAAAGGCCTCACCTTCTAATACCATCACACTGATTAGGTCAACGTGTAAATTTTGGAGAGCTGTAAACATTTGAACCATAGGAAGAGCTCTCCGGCCAAAGTGGAGGAGTGGACATGTGGTTTCCTAGTATTGGCTGAGTAATATTTGCTGATACAGTGTAGAGAAAACTGCAAAGCCTACATAATTTTGCTGGATGAACAGTGAGAAAATGTATTAGAGAAATTTCAGACACACTCAGGGCCACAAGTGAGCAGCAGAGGCTTTATTTTGCAGTATTATGTTTTTTGATATTTTATTTTACAATCCTGGGATTGAACCCAGAGCCTCCTCTCTCAGCGGCATCTTCTGCCCCTCCCTTTTTTTTTTACTGTTTATTTCGAACCAAGGTCTCAATAAGTAACTAAGTTTCCCAGGATGGGCTTGAACTTGTGATTCTCCTGCCTTAGCCTTCAGAGTTCTGGGATTATAGGCATGTGCTAACATGACCATTCTTTGATATTTTAATTTACAAGCCTTTAGAAGGAGGTTCTCTCCAAGTCACAAGAGACCCTATCAAAACCAATAATCTCCTACTTAACTGCTTCACACAAAAAAAGGATGTAGAAAACATGCAAAAATGGATTTTTAAAAAGTCCCTATGTGACTTCGGGCTCTCCGTGGACCTGGAGCTGTGATTCACTCCTGCCTGCTTTAGCCAACACACTCATCTCTACCTTTGACCTGGTTACATAAGACCTTTGTATTACAGACTCTTCCCTGCTCAAATATCTAATCAGAGAGAAATTCAAGGGTGCAGGCAACCTCAATGAAGGTGTTTGCCTACTCCCCGACCCCATGTCCAACCCTAAAGCAGCCTGCACCTTCATCTTCATTGTCTTACTCTGTTTCCCAGTTTTTCATAGCTTTGTACTCTCATTATATTGTGCTATTCATAATCATGTAAGGACCAGGCATTGCTATGTTTTGTTCACTACTATTTCTAAGAACCTGCAACAATGCTTAGCAATTAGAAAGTTCTTGACAGGTTTTTGTGAAGTGAATACATTTGTGTGCCCCTAAGCCTCTTGATATGCTTGACATACCCTAGAATCTAAATAAATGTTGAGTGAATGAATTTTGTAGTAGCTCTTTCTCTGCTGTTATTGCATGGATGTTCAATGTCCCCCAAAGAGAACCAGTGTGCAAAGTACACACCAGGGTGACAATATGTGGGAGGTGCTGTGGAACTTTAAGAGGTGGGGCCTTACAGGAAGACCTTTCGTTGTTAGGGGTGCCCATGAAAGGAATTCTGTGACACTGTTCATCTTCTCTCTCTGCTCCAGTTTAAGATGTGATTATTTTGTTCCTGCAAGTGTTCCCAGCCATGATATGTGCCACCATCTTCTGTCTTGGCCAGAATTTTGCTGATACAGACATGAGGCCTCTGAATCTCCAAAACTGTGAGCTCAATAAAGCTTTTTCTCATTCTAAATTATTTGCCTCAGATATTTTGTTTCAGTGACATGAGCCTAACACACCTGTCTTCCCCAACAGAGGGACTTTAAAGAAACTAAGAATAATTATCACTATTGAATGTTTCAGATGATCAACAATTAGAAAATACAAGAATAAATTACTTACAAGTAAATTCACTAGGACGATTGGGACAAACATTGTGAAGGCAATAAGTTGTGCAAAAGATAGAACTGGATATGCCAATTCATTTCTCAAAAAAGGTTCAAGGTATGCATCTCGGTAATTAACATCTCCTAGCATCATGGTGAAGGTCTGGATTAAGGAAAGCAATGGCGAGCTAAAGGCCTCCTAAGAAAAGGCAGAAAGGTAAAAATGAAATGAAAAATATATATACTGAAAAGTATGTCTCTTGGAGAGTAAAATGATAAAAATTATATATGAACTCTTTAAGAAGTCATAGGTATGTAGCTACTGAAATGCAATCAAAAGAAGTATTAACTATCTCTAGGTAATGAAAAATCTCTTTTGTGCAGACAGAACAAGTTTGTGCAATATCTATACATTTTTTGACAGTGAAGAAAATCTAGTATTTGTCTTTTTTTGCAATAAAAATCATTTGAAAAGTATGATATAAAAACAAAATTATTCCAATATTTTTTCATTATTAATTCTCTAAGTCATTGAGATTTAAGTATAAATATATATTTCCAATATTTGGAGTGATGAAATCAATAATAGATACTACTACTTTACCTGTACATTTAGAAGGACATAAAAGCTGAGTCCAAAAGCCAAAAGAAGGAAGATAAATACTCCTGTAGACCTTAGCAAAGTTTTGAAAATTACTTCCAACATAACAATAAAAATTCCACAATTTTCAAACCTAGAGAAATTAAAAATAGAACATGTACTTACTTATGTGGTCAACATTATTTTATTAAGTGACAAAATTTATCATTCATTAATTTTGGTACCAGGTTTCATAAATAAGATAATTGAGACAAATTATTTTTTAAAAAGACACGAAAATTCATGAATAATCAGGTTATCCTTTCAAATTATTCATCAAACTGCTTCTTTTCTTTCTTGTTAATATTTATCTTTCATCATTTTACCACTTGACCATTGGATATATTATTTTAACAAAAGTAAGACATAAAACACAGTAGTTTCCCACGCCGAAGGAAATGATAACAAATGCTTTATAAAGGAATTAGAGTGATAACTTGTGTGAGACATCAAGTAGAGACTGATGAGATAAACTATATACCTGAGGCCCTTATAATAGGAGTTTCAACACATGATCTACATTCTTCTATCCTCATGAACTTTTTTGTTCCTTTCCCCTGCCCAGCACCCCTAAATGGTAAAATGTTTGAATAAATACTGGGTGCGTTATTTGGCCATCAGTTTGTACTCTCCTTTGTTATGGCTTCTGTCTAGATGTCCCCTTAAAGCTTCAGGTGGTCATAGGTGGAGCTTTTTCAGAGAAGGCTAGATCTAGACTGTGTGACACTGGGATTGATTCATGGTACAATGGTAGGATTAAGGATGCTAGGATTAAGGATGAGGGTGCCACCTGCCCTAAGGTCAGGTATCCTAGATACAATATAAGGGACAGAAGGAGGCTTGTTGCTGGTACCTCACTTCCATGGTGTCCTCTGCCCACCATGGATTATTTCTCCTCTGTGATGCTCCTCTGCCATTCCATCTTGCCTCGGAGCCAGCTGACTATAGGCTGAAACCTCTAGTAACTGTGAGCCAAAATAAAGCTTTCCTCCCTTAATTTGTGGGTGTTGGATATTTTGTCTTAGCAATGAGAAATGTAACTAAGACAACCTTCACCAAAGGCAATTTGTTAAAAGAGGGAATCACAAGATTTTACAACTGTCACTACTTAATATGTACATGAATCAAAACACCAAACTGTATTTGATAAATATGGACAACTATGATGGGTCCATCAAAAAATAAAATAAAAATTTTATACAACTGAAAAGTACTCCAGAGATGTCTAGTAATTCACAGAGTCACTGATAATGACCAAGCAAAGGGAGTAGCAATACCTGAGCTTCAGGTGAATTCCTTTTACTTCTGGGCCACTGCTCTTTCCAACATAACATGTCCTCTAAGGGACAGGTTCAACTCAACATCACTGTGCTCATCACACAACAGTGCAGATGAAACAATGGGAAAGTGTGATCTTGGTCTCAGAAGCCTTGGGTAAATATCTATGTGTTGGTTTTTTAGCTGAGGTCTTCAGCCAGTTATTTGACTTGGTGCATCAACTTCTTTGGTATCAGGAAAGTAATAACATTTACTTGTTGTTACTAAAAGACTATGTGAAATAACACTTAACAGTAATTGTGGAGGTAAGAGAGCTTAGTTTGTTTTCCCTCTCTTGAATTAGACTCTTTGGGCTTATGTTTACTTTTACTTTTATACTTTTTTCATTCTTCATACTACGTATCTCTTCATTTTGAGTGTGTTGACTCAAAATAAATGTTTACCAAATAATATCAGATAAAACAAGAAGAGGAAATAGTTCCCTTCCATTTAATCTGTACATAAAATATAGACTTGCCCAAACCAGGGTGCTTTGACCTAAACAGATTGGAGAGTGAAGGACATCTGAATATATTTTGGCTGTCACAACAAAATCCAGAACAGAGAAGCCAGGATGTGCCAAATCCAAAAGATGGCACCCTCCCCAGAGCCCACATACAAACACTGCACAAACACTGCACTAAGTTTCAACAGTGCTGAGGCTGAGAAACCCTGTTCTACACTTTTTTTTAACTCTAGAAACTCCCCACCTTTCTTTCACAAGATCTATATCTATATCTATATTTATATCTATATATCTCACAAATTAGAAGTGGAATAAACCATTTTAAATTCATGAAATTTATAGTAGTTTTTCTTATGATACTAAAAATGCTTATGGGTTATAGACATCATTCAATCTAGCTTTACCTTTGAAGATACATTAAGAAGTTCATCCAATAGAAGAATATTGCAATTGCTCCACATTGCCATTGTACAGATGCTGGTATGTTAACAAACAAGGGCAGCACAAAAATGATGCTTTTTGTGTAGATAATCCATTCCAAAGCATTGTTATAGTCCAAAAAGTAATTCATTTTCTGGGATTAAAAAGAACGGAAGAATATCACATATAGATATCTGGTGTCGTATGGTATGGATGGTTATACGTGTATGTGTTGAGGACCAGTGAGCCACCTCCTGCCACCATGGATTGACCTAAAAGCACCTGTATATGGATCAGAGCTGGAGATGGCTCAGCCGTAGGCTGATCTGGTGCTGTGGAAGTATGATGTTTAACAAAATCCTACCTGTTTTTGAGCTTTAGAGTTTTAAGGAAATGTTTAAGGGACTGTAAGATGGTTTAGTAATTCCTGATATCTTTCAGCCAATATAAGGGCATGTATGTGGATCTCTATCTATAAGAAGTAAAGCTGCCTCTAAAGAAGTTTGAAACCTGTGCTGAAACTTAATAAGGAAATGCAAATAAATCATAATGGTATTCTTAAATATGTAATGTTTAGGACATTAACTTTCTCACTTGTAAAACATTTAAGTATCAATAAGAAAATGCAGATATAAAGTCTGGTAGAGAATTCACATAACATAGTTTAATTTAAACTATAATCTTCAGCTTCTATTCCAGGAAAATGAAGAAAAGACAACAAGAGAAATTGAATAGTTTGCCCTTCTAAGGTAAAATAGAAAACACAGTCGAACTTAGAATTGTGAAAATTGACTTAAATAAATACATGAGAGTACTCATAATGTATAATAAAAAAGCATTTAATCAACTTTTTTTGAATAATGAGATTTTATTTTTTTGTTGTTGCCTTGTTTTGTTTTTTGAGAAAGGGTCACACTATGTAGTTCGGACTGCTCTGAAACTCACTGTGTAGCCCAGGCTGGTCTTGAACTCTCACCAATACTCCTGCCTCAGCCTCCCAAGTGCTGGGATTACAGGCATGCACCACTACACCCAGCTTGAATAATAAGACTTTAAATCTTTATTAAAAATAAAGGACCTATGTCATTTATCCACCAAAGCAAGGACCTGCAGATAATTTACATAAGTTTTACATCAGATATAAACTTGTTTTAGCCTATCAGAAAATGGAATATAAAGCAAAAACTTTGGCATAAAAGGCCTTCAAAATTTATTATATCTTAGAATTTTACCCAGTGAAAAACAGGATTCCTTTTAAAGAAAAAATTCAAAGGACTCATTTGAAATAGAACCCTGAGCCAGATAAGCTTTTTAAATAAATATTTACATTTAAAATTATGAAATCCAAAATCCATGTTAGCAAAATATCAGAAATTAAAAGACCCAGAAAGGTCATTCATGACGATCATTTGTAGTCAGACAGATCCATCTGGACCAATAGAAGTACAACTGCTATTTTCAGATATATTGAACAGTTTGATGTACCTAAAATCATCTGGTTTCTACATTTGAAGTTTATGTTTGCTGTTTTCAATCTATGCCTTACTCACTGATGTCATTTATTATAATAAACATGTCAAAGAATTATCAATTAATATAATATTTACATCTTTATAGATACAAAGTTTATTGCTTACCTGCTGAAAAATTTGGACAACTTCTTTGCAATATCCAAATATACTTGATAAAAAAACTAAAATCATACAAACTTTTATTGGATATGAGTTCTGAAACAACAAAATATGAAGAAAAGTAGTTATGAAAAAGTATAAAATGGCAATAGCAGTTTCATAATTTCTCACTACTAAATATTTACTTTGTTTTATTTCTATATATTAACCAAATTTTAGTTAAATTGAAAATCATTGTGGTGTAAATATCTCATCTAATAGGGACGCTACATGATCATGCTTATTAAGAAATATTCAAAATTACCAACTGATATTAAGGAAATATAAATCTGAAGATCTATATAATTTTTAAATTGTGGTGAAATACACATAGTTTAAAACTTGCCAGTTTGAAAACTTTACATTATACCTGTGCATTTACATTTTAAAACCTAGGGTTCAATGGCATTAAGCATATTCTCAGTGTGAACCCACTATCACCACTACTTGTTGCCATAGCTTTTCCATCATTCTGAATGGAAGCCCCATGTCACTAAGCAACTCTCCCCATTTTCTGCTCCTCATAGTACCTGGTGACCACAAATCTGCTTCATGTAGACATATGTATTCCTTTGTGTGTGTGTGTGTGTGGCAGTGGGGATCGAACTCAGGACCTTGTGCTTGTGAAGTAAGCATGGCGCCACTGAGCTAAATCCCCAGCCCCTAGATATACATATTCCAAAGTGTTACATTACAGAATTCAGAATTCAAGCTACTTTATACTTATAATTTTAAAAAATTAGTTAAAAATTAATTCATTGAGTTATTCACTCATATTTCCTCTTATTCTACAAAGGATTTTAGAAAAAGTCCTATAGGCTATTTATAATAATCAAAATCTTGCTATTTCAGTTTTACTGTGGGCTCAGTATCCATAAAGAAAAATACATTTTAAATAATCCTTTTATTAAAGTTGAAATTTTAAAATACCGTAGTGTCTAATATTTCCAAATGATCATGAGTTTCATTGATGATTCCAGTTGAGTTGAAAGCTGTTCCTGGCTTTATATTAACAACAAGAAGAGTCATGGGTATGAGACCAAGACAGTAAGATCCTAGGTTCATCATATGAGCTCTAAATCCATAGGCACACCTACAGAAAAATAAGGAAACCTTAACGGAGTCATTTCAGACAGAAATATACTCTCAAAATACCTATACAGAGTAATTATAATCTATTTCATAAGTGTATTTGGTAAATGCACCAAATTTTACAACCAAAAATTATAATTTACATTTTTAATCTTCAGAGAAGGAATCTCAGCTTCTTAGCAAATCATGACTAAAATCTCATCAATCTAGGGAAGAGGAGAGACTTCAGACCTTAAGTTTCAACTGCAAGTTGAGTGCTTTTCCCTAGAGCACACTTCTCTCTTCACTGTCCACTAAATGGCAGGATCCACCCAGCACACTTCCTAATGTCTTAGGTAACATTTCCTCCTATCCCTCAAATCATTCATTTAGCATCAAAAATAATACCAGTTGTAACGTCAGACAGCTTTAATGTCAAAATTTGCCTGTGCCTTGTGTTTCATTTTCAAAGTACAGAACTTTAATAAAATTAAAAACATTAATATGCCTTTTAAACACGATTGCTTAGAAGACTGCTGATAGATTCAATAGTGACCCCTTTAAAACAATATTACTAGGTACCAACCATTTCATAAGTAAATATTCTTTACACACAGGATGGTTGAGAAGCTCTATGCGACTGTGTTGCACCATAACCTGAGAAATAAGGAAGAACAACAAAAACACAATTGTATTAAATAACTGAATATAAACTAAGCTTTTAGTTTTCTGCTTTTATAATTTATTTTGATATTACAAAAGTAACATTTGCTTATCTTAAAACATTTGAGAAATCAAAAAGTATATCAAATTTTTTAAAAAGCACAAGAACTGTTTTATGCAGGTTCAGTCTTGCTTTTGATCTCTGACTAGCCGAGATGGAATAGCTGTGTAAGATTTTAATCTCACATAGAGTTATAACAGCAAAGGACATCAAGGATAAATTAGCAAAGGTCACATCTTCACTCTTTGCTTGAAGAGACTCAGTCTTATTTTTCTAGTAAAGTGCACATAGTAGTTAAAATAATCTGTAGATTTTGAATTTTCATGAGTTATTAAGAACTATTAATAGGTATTTAAAATTTACTTTTTAATCATTCAACAAACACAAAGAGGAACTGATGTCAGCAAAACAATGGAATAAGAGGTCTCTAATCATCCTTCCTACACCGACGAACAGTGATTCATGGACCATTGCCTCTGGGAGCTACCCAGAAGCCAGGTAGGAGGTTCTGTACCTTGGTTGTATACATAGTCAAGAAGAGTTATATAAATGAATCGGTAATTAATTGCCACCGTCCTGTCTTCTGGTACAGCACAGTGGTTTTGGGAGAAAACTCCAACTCCTGGTTTCTCTCTTGGGAGAAAGAGAGAAGGCATATATATCCAATATTCTGACTTTTAAGGGAGCTTCACAAGGGAATGATTTCTGTTTTGTCTGAATTTCAGTACTGACAAAGCAGGCACCAGAGAGGGCCTACTGAGAACAGAGTAGATCACCAGGTCCCAAGTCTTGGGAAATTCTGATCTGTGCTATATGTTTAAAATCTTCTTCTCACTGGGTTAATTTATCCAGAAGAATCTGAGAACCTCTAAACTGTTATTAGAGGTTACCTTAGAGTCCAGGCACTGGCTGAACGTGAAAGCTGCAGCCCTTCTGCTGTGGTTTACAATGGAAGAGATCCTTAAATGTGTAAGTAGTGGAGGACAGAGGTGGAGGACACATGCTGCCTGTGTTGTATGATTTATGTGATTCTGAACTGAATCAGGTCTTACATGACTATCAGCACAGATGCATGAAACTTTAAGAGGATGAATTTATAGCAGTGGTAGAAAATGATTGTTCTATTAAAAAATAAAGGGTTAGGCCACGTGGCAGGCACAGACACTGAATCATAAAACTACACGTTTACCAAGCCCCTTCCACTTCCATCAAGTATTTTATCAAAGTACCTAGATAATAAAAGCACTACACTTACATTGAGGATTGGAAGAGGCTCATATTGAACCTCTTGTTCAGGTGTTATTTTTTTGGTTAATCCCAAAGGACAATGAAGGTATCTGAAACTGTATTCAATCTGTAGAAGACATAATTTAAAAAAAAATACAATGTAGAACAGACCCCAGAACTAGTTCTTGAGAAACAAAATATATAAGCCTATAATTCTGCTGAAAATTAACTAACTCTAGGTTGAGTCATTTAAATAGTGGAGAAAAGGAAATTAAATTATTGTATATTAATTTAAAAAATAAATATTTTGGAAAGTCATTATTCTGTTGCTTTGTAACTCATAGTCATGGAAATAGAGGGATTCTCAAAAGCTCTTTCAGATCCCTTAGACTTTCATTCTTCAGGCAAAACTACAAAAGAAAATATAAAGCAAAATTTGCTATTAGAAATAAATACTTCAGGAAAATGAGGGTGTAATAAAAATATTCTTTCACAAGTAGATAATACAATTATACAACAAATGAAACTTGTCCTTACCATCTACAATAGATCATAAATCTACCATATCACTACTTTAATATTCTAAGAATTTTAATAAAATAAATTCAAATTATCATCATAAAACAGCTTACATGGTAGTCTTGACAGGATTTGTCCTCTGTAGACGGTATCATGCAGAAATCTAGAAGAATCTTTGAGAAAGAAAAAGCAGCTGAGAAATACTGAAAGAAAGAAATATATTGGGGCAGCAGGCTATATATAAGAAGTGATTTTATTCTATTTCTAGAACAACACAAAATGTTCCCCTTCCCTTTCTTTGTTCCTTGTACCTCAAGGGTAAATTATAATGCATGAGATTCAGGGACAAAGTTCCACAAATACCTCTTTCTGCTTGTTTCTGAAATGTCAGATGACTCAAAATATACCATGTTCTTGAGAATGAAACTGTATTCTAACTTTTGTTCAGTAAACTTTGGTAGGAGATACTCCACTGATTTTTTTTTTTTTTTTTTTTTTTTGCCTAAGATTATGTGTCTTTATTGGCTTGTAGAGAACTACATATTACTGAGTATTGTCTTGCTCGGTATCTGAAACAGTTACAATTTATTTTCACTAATTGAGATCTTTCATCCTAACCCTGAGGTCTTGCTGTGGCTTTGGGCTCATCTGCATTGCTTTAGTCCAAGGTACTGAGTTTGTTTCTGTACCTATTTGCTGAGCAACACTGAGAATACGTGTCCAGGGAAGAGTGGAAAGAGTAATGGAGGATAAATGTTGAAATAAGAAATACTTAAGTTGGAAACATAACTCTAGAAACCTAACTCAAGGGAAAAGCCCTTATGGAATAATTATAGCCACCTTTCTGATTTGTGGAAACATATTTTTGTGGAGCCTTCATGTGCATAAATTACTCGAGTCACCCAAATTTGATGGCTCAAACTCATGATCCCGAGGAAAAAAACAATTACTGCATGGCCTGGCTGCACTCTGTTAACCAGGTATACACAAGGTCCCAGATGGCCCCATCTGGACATACTGGGACTTCTGGGGCAGTCAGTCAGGACTTAAAGGTAGATGATTGACTACAGCATAATGGGGAAATATAAGGGCCTGGCTGACTTCAGGTACCAGAGGACTTAGAAAATTTCAAGGAAGTCTCTTGGTAACCAGACAACAGTACTGCGTTAAAATAGGCATTATGAAAAATAAAGGTAAAGCCACTCAGTGGTGCAGTTCAAGGTACAACCAGAGAGACAGGTCTGATTGTTACAGGTTGAGAACTTTGTAATAATCTACACAGGCAAAATAAAGAGTAGACTGCCTCAAGGAGTGGGATAGGGGCTTGAAAAGAACTTCAGAGACACTGCAGTTTAAATGTATATGAGCCGGGCCAGGAGGTGCACGCCCTCGGGAGGCTGAGACAGGAGGTTTGCCGTGAATTCGAGAGGAGCCTGGGCTGCATAGTGAGTTCCAGGTCAGTCTCAACTGCATAGTGAGACCCTGTCTCAACCCACCCCCTCAAAGTGTGGCTAACCTAAAACACCTCTAAGTTCCCAAGTTTTATTGAAAAAAATAATTCAAAAATAATATAAAAGCCAGATAAGTTGTATCATGCCTGTAAGCACAATATTTTGGAAGGCTGAGGTGGAAGATTGTGAGCTAGAGTCCAGCCTGGGCAACTTAGTGAGGCTTTGATTCAAAATAAAAATTAAAAGAGAATTTGGCGACATAGCTCAAAGCAAAGGCACTGGGTTAATTCCCTACTCCACCCCACCAAAAAAAAAAAAAGTCATTATAGAAAACTAAGTAGAAAACACATAGTTGCATAAAGAAGGGAAAAATATTATCCAAAACAAATAATTCTTATTAATATTTGGCATAATTTCTTAAATTATTTCTGTACTTTCCCCAAATAAATATTTCTATTGTATATTTGTAAAATCTATTTAACATATAAAGTAATGCTACAGGAAATATATAAATCTGTCTGTATTTCTGATTATTCAATAGAACAGATTCTTACAAGTGTAATTACTGAATAAGAAAGCCTGAGATAGTTTTCAACCCTAAATATTGATGTGCTCCTTGATAAAATATATGCACCTGAAAAGTTAATCTGTGTGCAATTAAAGGATGGGACTAAGTTTTATTTCCATTATATGCCATAAAGAAAAAATGCACATAAAACACTTAGTGCATAGTAAATTTTTATTGAAAAATGAAACAGCTAATAGTAGCCATAGTAGAAGTATAAAGACAGTGGAGGGTATACATGTGTTAACCGTGATTCGGAATACTATATATGTTGCATACGTTTTGGTGATCACTTTGGAAGATCACTATATGCATTACTGTTTCAGAGATAAAGAAAATTAATAATAATGCCTCAAGCGTGCAGTGACCTGCCTAAAGCTGAACAGAAAGTAGGAGAGCCAAGGTTAAATCCCTAGCCCTTCAGGGTACACATTCAGGGCTCTCTCATCAGTGTCTTTATGTCTCATTGACTCCTCCAGAATTTGAATATATTTTCCCTTTCAATGATATTTAAAGAAATTCTGCTTTTCTCTATTATTCTATGTCTACCCTAATCTTCAAATATCAACCAGGAGGTCTTTCATTTGCACCCTTTAACACTCATATATTTGTCAGTATATAATGAGTGCCCAGTCATGTTTTCAGTTATATTTAATTTGGTACAGGGAGTCACATGTTCAAATGTCCAGGGAGAGCAGGCAACTGATGTAAATGAATGAACCAAGCCAGGCGTGAGTTCTCTTCCTGTATTTTTAGACAATAGCTCTCCATGGGCTGACTTTTATTTTCATAGTTTAGATAGAGGCATCTATTGAAAATATCTCTGCTACAAGGGAAGCCAACGTATTAGAACAAAAATACACAACCAACCATTGGCATTGGAGCTGAGTACCTCAAAGGGGAAGATTGGGTGTACAAGTGGGACAGCCTTGTCCCATGAGAAGAAGCAGGTATTGCTCAACCCAGCAATTCCGGACTGTATTCATAGCCAGTCCCAGGCATCAGACATGGTTTTTATAGGAACCCAGTTATCTGGATTCTTAAGGAAAGCATGTTGGTCATAAACATGAGCAACCAGTGCTAAACAGCAATAATATGCAAACAACGTACCTAGGGCTCTTATTCAGCCTATGAATACCACTTTGTAGTCTCTGTTCTAAACTTGAAATGTTTGAAGAAAAAATATCTTCTTTAACTGTATTTTTCTACATTACACATAACCAATGGAATGCTTTAATCCAAGTAAATCCTCATGAAACACTTACTGGCTAAAATCCCTTATAGATTTTCAAAACTCACAACCTTTATTTAAATATAAAATGCGCTACTATTAAATTGCAATTACAAAAATAAATCCACACACCCTATTATATACCAAACATTTACCCACAGAAGATCTGTTTGCAGAGCTTACCTTCATGCATTCAGGGAGGTATTCTATCATTTCCATGACTGGACATTTATTGCTTGGAGAACAATGATTAAAAACCTTAAGACATTCATCCCATCTGTAAAAATAAGACAAACAGAAGACTTGCATAGCTGCTGAAACTCAAGATTATACCCTTAGGGGAAACTCAAATTTAGGTTAATTCTTGAAATATGCTCAGCCATTGGTTCCAGTGCAGCCAATATGTAAACCAAGATCAATTCATTGATAGGATCCTTGCTCACTAATGGAAATTAGGAATGTGGGAATATCAGAGAATGGTTGTCATAATCACTATTTTATTTCTTTAAATGTTTTCCAGGAAGGCATGCCTTTATCTCTTTCCTCTCCCAAAGTCATGAAGTGGTTAAGTACTTTCAGAGCTGACCATGTTGAGGAAAGACACTCAAATTCACATGCATACATCAGGAAGTTGGTACTAGGTCCATATTTAATAGTTAATTCATATATATGCATATATATTATGAATTTAGTTAAACTATCAAATAACATGTTTCTAGTACATTAAAGAGCATAGACCTTGCTGGAGCATTATGGAATTTGACCCTTTATTCAACACCATGCAGTTGGATGAGATAATAAAGTACATACAATACCAAGGAGAGACAATATAAAACAAGGAGAAAAGACAAAGCCCATTTATCTTAAGATCTTATCTGTGTGATAGGAATCTGGTTCTGATAACAACCCAAATAATTTTTCTCTTATCCCTAATCTGAATTGAGTATTATTAACAGAAAACTTCTGATTATATGCTCTCACTAACTGGTGATTCAAAGGAAGCAGGAGATTATTGAGACTACTCATGCTCAAAACACAGGTCAGAGCTGCCTTGAATGTGAGGTTGCTTACTTATATCCACTTCTGGGTGACACCAGGGCCCTTCTCCGTATCTGCCTATAATGATATAGAAAAGTTATGTTTGATATATGGAAAACACTGCCTTATAACTTCAGCAGTAAAACTCCTTAGAGTATGGTTTATAAACCTACAACCATAGAACATGTGCTAAGGAAAATTGCACTGTGTGGCACTAATACATTAGGAAGTACTCCCATTGGTAGTTTTTGTGGCAAAACTGAGTCAGACAAGGACAGAATTTGCTTGACAACAATTGTGGTGCAAGATCCTTTTGGTGCCTGGGTCCCTGGAGTCTCATAAGAGGGCTTTTGACAAAGATGAGGAAGCTGAGCTGAGCATCCTCAGTGAAGGAAAGACAGCCTCTTTAATAAATGGTGCTGGAAAAACTGGATGTCAACCTGCCACAGATTAAAACTAGACCCTTATCTTTCACCATGTACTAAATTAAAATCCAAATGGATTAAAGATCTAAATATTAAAACAGAAACATTAAACTTGCTGGAAGATAAGTTAGGCAGAACTCTGGAAGATATTGCCATAGGAAAAGACTTTATGAACAAATCCTCAGTTGCACGGGAACTAGCAGATTGAATCAACAACTGGGATCTCATTTTATTAAAAAGCTTCTGTACTTCAAAAGAAACCATCAGCAGAACTAAGAGACAATCTACAATGTGGGAAAAAAATTTTCAGACAAAGGACTATTATCAAGAATATATAAAGAACTCAAAACAATCAGCCTCCCCAAATATAAAGACCTGATTCAAAAATGGGCATCTGAAATGAACAGACAACTCTCAGACAAAGAAGTAAAAGCAGCAAGTAAATATATGAAAAAATGTTCCACATCACTGAGCATTCAAGAGATGCAGATGAAAACAACACTGAGATTCCACCTCACGCCACAAAGAATGGCTGCTATCAAGAAATCACACAGTAACAAATGTTGGCAGGGTTTGGTGAGAAAGGAACCCTTCTCCATTGTTGGTGGGAGTGCAGACTGGTGCAACCACTATGGAAATCAATATGGAGATATCTCAAAGAGCTGGGATTTAGAGGTTCCATTTGACCCAGCCATCCCTCTGCTGGGTATCTTTCCAAAAGAACTAAAAGAATCATATCACAGAAAAGTATGCACACCCATGTTTATAGCGGCACAGTTTGTAATAGCTAAAACTTGGAAACAGCCCATTTGCCCATCCGTTGGAAACTGGATAAAGAAGATGTGGTTTTCTTATAAAATGGAATATTACTCAGCCATAAAGAATGAGAAAATATATTCATTCATAGGAAAATGGATACATATTGAAGATATACTCCTAAATGAAATAAATAAGTCACACATGTGTAAACACCAAATAGTTTCTCTGGTGTGAATAATCTGCAATAATACATAAGATCCTAATAAGATTACTGACATTGAGAAATGGGAAGAAAGAAGCTAAAGGTGTAGGGAAGGTGGGATGGGTAGGGGAAGGGTAATAAGGGAAAAGAAAAAAATGTGAGATAATGAAAAGATGGAAATAAAGTGTTTGCAG